AATTAGGTAGACTGAGTGATAAATTTGTATAAAATAAATTTGTACATACTTACCAATAAATACTTAATAAACAAGGTGTAAGCCATCCGTTTAAAAAAAAAAATAATAATAATAATAATAATAAGTATAATAATTTGGTTTATGGTTTTTAAATAGCTTTTATTAAAGAGAATTAAAAAAATTTGAAAAAATTCTTTATATAATTGAGAAAAATAATTGTTCTATTTATACATATTTAAAATATATAAAAAATAATAATAAACAATAAACAAGAACAACCAGTTTTATTAAATATATCTTATATACTTGATTAAATTATTTTGATTAATTAAATTTATTTAATATATACAATCAACCCTATTAAATCGAAGACATCTGTTTCACCTTTTTTCTTTGGATTAATGGGATCTTTAGATAAGTGAAAATCATATGACTTTTGTGATCTCATTTGTATTTGGAGTAAAATGATCTATTTGAGAATATCTGCAAATGTAATTAATTAGGTGATACAAGGTATCTTGTAAAAGACGCTGACGCATGGTACCATGACAATGTGATCACTCTAAAATACATACTGAAAGATCAGAATTAGAGCTTTAACTATGACTTTAAGAAATTTTCCACTAAAGAATAAAGAGACCAGTAGTGTGCAGAACTTATCGCTTTGAAAAAAGACAGTGAAAAATTGGAAGTATATATAGATTCTAGAGACTATTGAGAAAAGTGGATCTTGAAAATGAGCTATTACAAAATTACATAATACGACTGAAGGGAAGATAGTATACTGCTGACTACAATTAGCTCGACAAACCTGAAAATATATTTAAAGCATGTTCAGACAACTCAACAAACTTGGAATTTGCTTATACTGTATAGGACTTTAACATCATTGGACGAATCCTCAGTTGTTATCACATACACCAGCTGGTTTGATCATTTCCATCCTTGCCATCTTCAATTGATACCATATGAACTACTTGATTTGAAGCTTCTCTGGCTTTAGTATTATTGGAAAATCTCTTAGTCTACATCAAAGAATGTTATCTGATTTGACTCCTCTTTTGTTCCTCTTATCTTCTTCATTCTAATTATCAGAATTACTTTACTCAGTTGATATCACATGAATCACTTGATCTAAAATTTCTCTGGCTTTAACATCATCAGAAAATTCCTCAATCTAAGTCAGGTATGCTACCCAATTTAACTTCTCTTTGTTCATCTCACCTTTTTTATTCGAATCATCAAAATCACTTTATTCCAGTTGATACTATATAGACTACTTGATCTGAAGTTTTGTTGGCTTTAGCATTATCAGAAAATTTTTCAGTCTGAGCCAAGTATACTACCCAATTTGACTTCTCTTTGTTCCTCTCATCTTCTTCATTCAAATCATCAGAATCACTTCACTCCAGTTCATTATAATTACTCTCACTGACATTTTTATTGTTCTAAACTTTCTTATTGTAACTTAATTATTACATTTCACCAGTTGTTATTTCTACATGAGGAAATTCTGTCACCTCTTTTGACTTCAATTGCCCTTTCAATAGTGATTCTGATTTTAATAAATAAAATATGAAGAATTATCAATTAGTAATAAACTTTGGGAAAACAAGCAGCAGAATAAAGGAATGCAGTTATCGAAACCTAAATTATATTGGATATATAAGTTAGCATCTGGGAATGAGAAATTATTAGAACTGTATCATTCCACAAATTGGTGATGGTTACTGTGATAAGAAGTTGGACCACACTACACTGTAAAAAATGCAACAGTATAGATCAAAACATTGTTCAAATTATTATCTTGATGTATGGACTCGAGAAATAGTTCTAAAATCGCAAAAATAGAAGTTAATGTGAAAATTACTGAGATCATGGTTATGCCTAATTGTTGAAGTATTACAACAAATGAAAGAATCGTGATGATACCTTGATTGGCAAAATTTTAGTAAAGCATATGAGAGATAAGTCTCGGGGATACATATTTATCTTGATCCTGATAACATTTGTTGAAATTTAGATTGATAGCAACATGGAATTAGCATAGGTCTTGGATCAGATGTAAAAAGTTCGATTGAATATCAAATCCCAATGAAAAAGAAATTGACGATAGCATGGCAGAAACCTGGAGAAATAATTATAGAGAAAATGACAATATGACATTATATGAGTAATATAAGGGAATTTATTTGCAGGAAAAACTAAAGAAAATAGGTGTTGCATATTTAATTAGAGAGCAGGACATGAAAGTCATGTATTTATTTGCACTGTGATTTAATTTCCAATAGCATGAACATTTTGGTAAATAAATATTGTTAATTAAAAAAAAACACATTCAAATTAATATTAATTTATATTTTTATTTCCAAATTAACTTTTTATTTATTTGAAGTCACATAACAACGTTTATTTGTAAAATCGTTTAAGACTACTTGAGAAATGATTATTTGTGAATAAAACAGTATGAATTAATTAGTAATAAAAAAACTATTAATTTCTGTTTGTACCTTTGAGTTAATAAGTGATTAATTTAATTTCTTTCTAAAATGATTAAATTTTATGAGAAAATTATTACTAACATTAAATTGCTCTTCAATATTTGTTAAAAAACTTATTAACTTGTCAACCGAGTCAATGGTATCTTTAGTTGTTATTTTTGACTCAACTTGGAATTTATTATTATCTTCAACATTTTCATCACCACAGACCAAGGCAATTATATCATCATCATCCAACATTTCACTGGTTTTCAATGTTAAATCCACAGTTATATATTCATTGACTGTTATATTATTTCCAGGTATCAGTTTTTCAATTAAGTCTTGAACAACTTCTTCGGTGTTATTATCAATTGGTAAATCGAGAAAATATTTGATGCCTATAAGATTATATAGTGAAAGAATACTGGTTTTTAACCAGCATAATATAATAGTATTAAATTAAATTGAATTCTATGCCTCTGTAGTAAAATTAATCGCATTGAGTATAGTTAATTTAGGTATAGAAATTTGTGTGTTCATAAATAAATCATATGCTTCAATTTGGTTTTCACAAAGAATTTTATGATATTTAGACTATAAAAAAAGAATTAGTATTTATTTAATACAAAAATATTAAAAAAAAACAATAAAATTAATTTTATTTATTTTGAATGAGTATATTATTCCTGTATTATAGAGTTGAAAATGTGTAGTTATATTTTTTGAAAGATAATGTAACATAATATTCGAAAATGAATTACTATCCTTAACTTGATGTACTATAGCATTATCCATAAGGTGCAATATTTTACATTGCTTTCTTCTCATTTCACTATTCACTTGTAAAAACCATCTTGAAAATATTGATAATTGCATCCATGCACTTGAATTTCAATAATAGAATATGGGTAAGGTCTTATGATCAATATTTTTCATACATTGTGGATTTTTATATTTGTGAATAAAGACAGGTATTAAACATTCTATTCCAGTTGCATTACAAGTCAACATAATCATTATTCAATCTTTTAATTTTTTAGTACCTGCAATTGGTTGACGAGCAAGTGTTCTAGGTGATTCTAACTTTCAAAATAATGCTGTTTCATCACAATTAAAAATATTCTCCAAGTTTCATGTTGATAAAAGATTTTGAAGATTATAATATTGTTAAAAAAATCTTCTAAAAATATTGAGTTTGCTTCTCCACAATGAACATACTCTTGAATATTATATTGCTTTTTAAATCGATTGAACCAGCCAGGTGAACTTATAAAATTCTGAATTTCAAAATGTTGCACAAAATAAGTAGCCTTGATAAAAACTATATATCTAGTAAGTGTACAATTATTATTATTAGCCTGATTAATCCACAATACTAATGTCTGTTCTATTATCGGATATTTAGTTGTTCTTATTCTATATAAGTTTGTTATATAGTTATTAGGTTTTAATGACAAATGATAATATATTTTTTTTAAAATATCACTGATTATTGATTGACTAACACCATATTTAATAGCAAATTCATTATTTTTTATTTCCAGTGTAAGAGGGACCAAAAAAATTAGATAGATTCAATATATGTCATCCTCGCCCAATTGGGATTTAATTGGGGCTTGAGGGATTTTTGGGATTTTTGGGATTTTTGGGATTTCTTAACATGTATATAAAGAGAGGAATGTACTAGAGAAAAAGCAACAATAAAATACCGTCCTTTTATCATAAACTCAGACTAATATCTAACACTTTCACTTACCTCGTGCCACATCTCCACGCCTCTTTCGACGTTACACGATCGGCGATCGCGACGTAGCGACAGACTCGCCGTTATCACCCCCAACAATAGCATTCATATGTTTTTGCTTAGATAGAGGCTGTATCGTAAAAAAATAACGAAAAATAAAATGAAAAGATTGTAAATTTGTGTTTTTTATATAGTTATTATACATAATAATGTATTAGTAAGCATCAATTGGCAAATTATTATAGTTGTTCACTTTAAAGACATATTAAGCTGTTAAAATAATATTACTGTAATATAAATTAAATTAATATTATAAAAAACATTGACAAATACACTATCTAATGGTAATGATTATTTACTGTATATTCAAATATTAGTTAAATCAAACTTATGTGCTTGACATAAAATAAAAATTTTTTATTAGGATAATTTTTTGAGTTAGTGTACTTGTTATTTATTTAGCGCCATAATTCAAGCATTCGGATTATCGTCGCACGAGAAGCTGAAGTTAGCAACAGATTCGCCGGTAATGACAGCAGACAATTTAGCTATTTTTCAGTCAAAAAAATATGTGGAATTTGGAGAAATTGGAGTACTATTTTACAGTAATTTTTATTCGAATTGTATGCACATACAGTATATGTTAAACAGTTTCAAATTCTCAGTTCAAAGTTTCAAACTACATGATTACAAACCAATAAAAATTACTTATTTATTATAAAAAAATTTCGACTTATTATTATATTGTAAACCATTTAAACTGACAGCTAGGCAACGACCTAAGTTTATCAGAATTAAACTAGTTCCCGGATGAACTACTTAATGATGCTAAAAACCATTAAGTATACAGTATATTCCGCATTAAATGTTTAACACCAATGTTTATTAGCAAAAATATACATAGTTACATCAAATTGGTAGTTCAATATAATTTATAAATTAAGAACATTCGAGTTTATATCTTCATTCATACGTAGCATATCATAACATTCAAAGAATTATCATACTAAAGTAAAAATCATTTATCCGCCATTTGTAGCTGCACTGATGAAGTTATGTACTTTCGTCTGCATCTTTGTGCCAGTCTACACATCTTGATTTAATTAGTCGGACTTGGAGGCGGGATTTTGACGTTTGGCTTTGTCATTAACTATTCCTTTGCTTTTTCCAAAACTCCACCACTCTTTTTATAACTATAATAATCACGATAATAGTGATAAGTATTACAAAACCGACGGAAATACCTATGATAGTGATAGCTTCGGCTGTATTAAAGATTTCAATATTAATAAAATCAATTTTGGTTTTTTAATTATCTATTATTTAAATTGAGAGATCAAATAACCTACTTGAAAGGTTAGGAGATGGATTAGAAGGCGCAGGATTAGTGAATACTTCATAAATACTCAGAGTCAAAGGTCCTCCGCAAATTTGGGAGCTATTTCCACCACAACTAGAACCACAGTCTTCCGAACCGAGGGCCGTGAAGCTATCATAAGAATTGCCGCAAAAACATTGAGTCGCTTCCTCTAGACCTGCATATTTGTAATTTTTCTGACTGCAATATTTTGTACACATATCTACAGTCATACTCTGTTCCTCAAATTGTATACCATCCAAACGTCTGACGTTGCAATATGGGCTGTCTTTAAAACACCCTTTGTAACTGATGTCATTTTTGGGACTGTTTAATATATCTAGTTTTTTATTAATAGGAGGTAATCCACCTGGAGGAATTTTGTTTTTAGTTAATGCAGCGGTATAAATTGTGTATGCTTCCTGCCCACCACAAAAGTAAGAATTGTTACCGACACAAGGGATATTGCAAGACGAATTACTGGTTTGAATATACGCTTTAAGACCATCTTGATTTCCACATCGACATTCGCTTCCTCTCGTTAGAGCACTGTAATTGAAAAGGTAGTTGGCACAAAACATTATACATAACCCTGGGTCCATTAGAATTCTGTCTCTGTCAGTGTATGGATCTGAGAAATTTATTTTCGTAAGACCATCTAATGTGTCATTGGATAAGTTGTCTTTTATAAAGCATCCGAGCGTGTTGGTTCTCGGTTCGTCTCTTCGGGTTAAATTTCCAACACATTCTGCTTGGACTTGATTGATGTATAATAAAAATGAAAATAAATAAAGTAAAATTCTCCAAAGTCTCATGATCAATATTAGAATTCCCAATTTAGTATAATGTATTATGTCAAATGTCGAATTAAGATTATTAAAGAACTTATATTTCTTAATTCATAGTCAAGGGAATAATCACCAATGTTACGAAACATGCCTATTATATAATGATTTAGAGTTATTGTTTTATGAGCACTATTTTTAATATAATCTTACCAGAACGCGTTACTCCTTGTATCGCGACAGAAAAATATGTATACAAATAAAATAAAGTTCATTTACAGTGTACACTGTGTGCATAATACACAGTACTATATGAGGCGTAATCGTTTTTTATGACTCTACCAGTGTTACCCCAAAAGGTCGCGTCACACTTTCTTTATGATCTACCAGAGGGCATAAATTTCGCGTCACATTAAATGCGCCACTGTCGTCCCCACGCCAATCGAAAATAAACTTCTTACGTCTTTTATTTAAAAAGTTTATTCTTAATTTCGCTGAAATAAAATTAGCGCATGTCATGTGAGCAGAACTTTTGTGGAAACCCTGGTAAAGTCGTTTTTTATATACTTTTATTTATTATGCAAAGAAAGCATTCTTTAGAAATTTTTATAATTTCTTTAATTTGTTTAAAAAATCTTAAAACCATCTATCGAGCACGCTGCAATCATTATTAAACTAATAGCTAGATATGAAGCCTTGAAAAAATAGGAGCTGTTATTTTATCACTATAATAATTTACATACAGTATCCTTCTTTAAGAAATATAATTGAAGTTTGCAAGGGAATAAAAGAAAAAAAAACCAATAAGTGCGTGATCAACTAATTAAATATTGCGATTTCTAAATGCTGGCGCACACATCTAGGTAAATAATGTTAAGATTTTATTTCTAATTTTTACTTATGGAATTTCGATACAGACTACACGTAAAAAAATAAAGTCGATGAATTGATGCAATGCTGTAAGTGATTCATATTTAAAGTAATGATGGCAAAAAAAAATGTCGATATGTTTGTGCATTTTACTTGGGGAAGTGGCCAATGAATATGGAAAGGCAAATTATTATTTTATGTACACATCAGACACAAGGTTCATGCAAAACAAATGCTCATATTTTCTTGTAACAATTGATTTTTTTTTTATAGATATATTAATGTACTACGATTTTGATGTGTCCCCAAGGCGAGTTTGGTAAATCATCAATTGAGAAATTACAGTATTAAATGGTAAATTTTATCAGTTTTAGTGTATGTCAATAGCTCGTGTTGCATAGGGCTAAACGGCGAATCAGTCATTTACTCCAATTGGGTTTTTGCGTGACTGTCAATAAAATTTAACCAAAAAGAATACAAAAAAAAAAAAAGTAAATGAAGCATGCATAACTTTAGTCAATACTTCATGCTCTCGCCGAGACAGTGTAAAACGGACACTTTAATTCAAGAATTTATACTTTCTCAAATTACGTAGTTACACTACAAAAATAACCGTTCTAAAATTTTTCTTAATCATTGATCTCTTTCATTTTTTTTTCCAACCTATCCCTACAATCCGAAACCTCATTGTGTATGTCAGTAGCAATTTTTTCTCTCGAACTGGTATGGTCTTCGGCAAATTACAGTATGCATAAAATGAGTTGCTATAAAAGGATGAAAACAATACTGTACCTGAGTATGTGATACGTTACGTGAACGGAGATACTTACTTAGATAACGTGATTTTAAAGACGGTTTAAATTATATTTCATCTCCTGGCATGTCACTCGATGCCTGAAAATAATTGGGTTATAAGACATTTTTTTATGATATCCAATGCGAGAATTAAATTGCTTCCTTGGGGCTCCATGTCATACGCATAAGCTAAATTGGATTTACACCCGCTTACGAAACCACATCTAACAAAAAACGCTGTTTTAACCGTATTTTCACAAATATAAATTTATTTTTCAAGTAGTGGGTAGTCCACGTTTTAGACTACACTGCAATTTTATGATCATTCGTCCAATTGAAATAGGATATTCGCGAACGAAAGTCGTGATGGTCCCGGTTCGGTTCTAGATAGATCGAAGGATTCGGTAACATTTCGGATCAATAGCTAAATTCATAAATAGTACGTAATATTAAAGGAAGTTAAATGTCAACAAATATTCTGTATTAATACATACTGCCCACTTCAGTAAAAATAAACGAAATCTTTCATTTCAGAAAATTTTCGAGGAAGATTAGCGCTCTCAACCTCATTTAATCTATACGTTCCTAAATTAATATTTGATTCAAATTATCACTATCTTTTTTATAACAAATTTTTAGTAAACGAAAATACATACCACGGCAATCGATAGCGAATAAATGTATTCGAAGACGAAAGCTTTGACCACCAAATGCGCATAACCTACTCGGCAGACGCTTTCTGTTTTTAACAATGTCCTTCACAATTTCTGCGAACATATTCTTTGAATTACTTGTTATTTTTTTCTAGATCATTAATTTCCTTATCATTCCTTGCTACCGACCTCGAATCTTCTATATAGACGAGCTGATACTTGTCAGCATCTGCCATGAATCCTGCGCCGTCTGCACGATTCCATTTAACATGTTTTTTCGGTGTAGTTTCTCCATACTCGTAATTTACATTTGCTATATACCATAAAAGAGTGTCGAAACATGGATGAACAAACGAATTGAGATAAGCCCCTTCAATTGTCGAAATGTTTAAAAGAGGATTTTGATCCTCGAGTGAAATGCTTTAATACTGTGCAAAAGAAAATATTAGAACAGAATCCTAAAAAAAAATAGATCAACCAATACCTAACATACAATTGCGGTAAACTAACGACGTATAGTTCTCAATACTGCAGCTATCACGGAATCATTCTGTTCAGGAGATTTTAAATCGTCGATTTCGCGGTGCTATTCTTTGGCGCTTAAATTTTTCGAAAAAAATTTCACCAGAAAATCATGCATAATTTTAGGAATCAATTTTTAAAAATGGAGAGACTAGTCGAAGATCAATTAGATTACCATCGGGATCTTGTTCTTTATAAATCGAAAAAATATCCTTTGAAGCATCTGAGTGATCAATAGTGTTTCCTAAATGTCGGTTATCTAATAGAAAAAAAACCCCCCCATATTAAATCTCTTAGTTAAAATGGATTATTAAATCATTGTTAAATACTTACCACATCATCTCTAATAATGTTTTTCTTGATATTTTCTTGAGAATTAATGTCCAATCCCTTCTCAGTTTCATTTTCGCTTTCTTGGGAGAGGCTTTCATCTGTGTACATAGTTTCCGATTTATTTTCTTCTGAGTAAAGTTCAGGAGTATTGGCATTAGAACTTGATTATTCATCCGTTTCTTCATGATAATCTGGGATAGTGACTCTCCCACTTCTCATTTGATGTTTGATCTATGAAATAGAGAGCAAAATGTTAATTATTATTTTTTATTATATATGATTGTTGACGTTCAATTATCCGTTGAAATGAATTAATACGTTAATGGAATTACCTTTTTTGCCGGAATTGTAGCTCTTTCGATATTCGTCCTTTTTTCATCATCATCCGCATCTCGACGATGTTTCTCCAAAATTGTTTGATGCTTGTCGCTGTTTATTTTGTATATTCTACCATCTCCGGTTGAAAGTTGCTTTATCTGCTTTACCTACAGATGATCGACTGAATCGTGCGCAATCTAGAGCAAAAGAAGCAATAGACTAAGAGCTCGTCCTTGTTAGACCAAGAGTCCCAGCTTGCACTAAGCGTCGAACCAAGAGTTCATCACTGGAGACCGAGAGTCTCAGCTTGCACTAAATGTCGAACCAAGAGTTCATCACTGTTCGGACCAGCTCTTTAGACATTCAATAATTCTCTTATTAGCGACTTACACTCCAATTATTGAGTATTTCTCGTGCCTTTCTTTTATGTGTTAGTCAAATTCAGACCCATTATCTGCTACTTTTTGAAGATCCTTTTTTATATTATCCAGTATTTTTTTCAGATCCTTTTGTTCTGATCTCGCGTGATAATATTCCAATATATTAAAGCACGTCCAATCAGTGATTATGGTGTCGCGATAAAAATCCGGAAAAACAGGATTTAATTGTTTGCAAAGAGACACGAAAAGAAAAAAACTTTTTATATCGTGTCACAAGTCAAATCAGATCATTTTATTTAATTACGTACTTTAACATGATGTTTTGTATAAAACCTGCTTTTTGATCATATCTCTACTAAGTTGTCCGACCCTAAGATTAAGAATATCAACGGCTACAATGACACACATATCATCCCACCTTCTCGCATACGTATATGCTCGAAACCAGAGAAAAAAGTTAATAATTACATAGCCTTCATCTGGTATAATATATTGCCTTCTATTTATCTTTTTCCGAACATGAGAGGAAAAATGATTACTGAATATATATTTGAAAATGATCTTTGGCTCGAATCCGAATAATTTGATGAAGTCTCGCTTTGCTGGTCTGATCTTCTCCTATTAGTACTCTGGAAAAGGGTATGTCGTTGATTGATTCGCTCTGGGGCGTTGTGAACATCCTGCCGACCGATTCGAAATTTGTGGCAATTTGACTAAAATTATTATGGTAGGTTTCTAAAAATCGC